TGGGAGCAGCCACTGTACTCCAGTCTGGGTGACAGAGTGAGACTCCAACTCAAAAAACAAACAAACAAACCAAATAGCTGGAACTACATGGAACTACAGGCGTGCGCTACTACACCTGGCTAATTTTTGATTTCTTGTAGAGACAAGGTCCAGGCTGGTCGGAACCCCTGGACTCAGGCAATCCTCTCACCTCTGCCTGCCAAAGTGTTGGGATTCCAGGGGTGAGCCACCACACCCGGTGTACTCTTTTAACACGAACAAACTGTTTTTAATTCTTTTTTTTCTTTGAAGGGGGTACCAAAGGATAGGCTCTTCTGTTTAAATAGGGACCTCTCCGGGGCTGGAGGTTCTGGCTTCTGAGAATCAGAGGGTTTCGAAGCCCTTCTCATACGTTTCTCCATCTCTACCTGGGCCGAAACAGAATGGGCAAATGTAACCCAGCCTGGTCCTTGGATGTTGCCTGTTGACTGATAACTGGGAACCAAGGTGCCATCTCCTTTGAACTAAACCGGCGATGATGAAATGAAAGCCAGCAGCCTCTCTCTCACTTCTCATTGTTAGACGCGAAATAGACAGTGTCCCTCCGCCTTGCACGTTAGGCCGGGCTGTCCAAAGCGGTCATATCTCATAGTTCCACTAGATGGCGGCGACACCCCAGGCATCCACCCTCAGGGACTCTGCCCCTCGCCCAGGCAGCGGCCTAGAGCTGCTTTCCAGCGAGGGCAGGAGGCAGAGGCAGATACTCAACGTCAGGCAATCAGTCCCACTATGTATGTCTTGTATTTCCGAGCGGTTTTCTCCTCCCTCCCACCCTCTTTAAATAATTCGCGCTCCTCTCCTTTGGTAGAGCTTTTTTTGCCCTTTGTCTTATTTTTGTGAAACTCTCCGAGGTATTCCCAGCCCGTTTGCATGCAATCTGGCATCTCTAAGGAGACAGTGGTCTCGTGTGCTGTTGTTATTAATGTCAACTGGTATTTATATGGTGAGAACACTGTTTTTTTCTTAGGAAAAGTGTCCAAAACAAAGAGTACAGCCCGGCCCTGGAAACACAGCGGGAAAGCCCACATTTTCCCACGCGCGCTGAGTTTCCTTCCTTCATTTCTAGACTTGTGGCTACTGCTGAAAACTGGCCAGTGGGAACTGGCCCGTCCTTCCCTGCCCGCAGCCTTCTGGTGCTCTCAGGGTTTCCAGGTTTGCCACCGGCCCAGCCCCAATCTGAAACACGGGATTCTTCCAGAATTGGGAGTGGCAGCTTCAGGAAAACCCTTCTCGGATGTTGATTGCAGGGACCCAGGATCTGGGAACAGCCTCTAGTTTGTGGGTGGATTGCTGTCTCAGGAAACGCTGTGGTCCAGCCTCGGGGCTGTTTTCTGGAACTCCTTAGAGGTGGACGTTTGGTGGAACCTACAGTTTCAGTCACGCTGTTGCAGCGATGGCCCCTGGCCAAAAAGATAGATTTGTTACTAGATGATAACTTGGTACCGGTCTTTGGGTAGCCACAGCTCATGGT